CGTTCAATCGGCCTAAGAATAAAAGACGAATCCACGATAGTCCGGACGAAGTAGCTCACCCTTGAATTCAGATGACTCGTGTTTCACAATTGAGGTCGCGCAGCCATCGCCTAAATATGCCATGTACTCAAAAAAGAAAGAGCAAGTATAGTATCAGTATACAAAATCATAGTGTAATTATAGGATGATCAGCCAACTCCAAAAATATAAACGTAAATACATAACTAAAACATAGCACAAATCAAACAACATATATATCAACCAAGTCTACTACACAAAAGACCCCAGTCACCAATCTTGATTTAACAATTACATGGAGCATGTCCCACATGATCACAAATAATTCTGATTCACTTAAGGAATCAATACACTAGAGAATAATCAAACACGTACCAGCCGTGGTACCTGAGCCAACCAATAGTATTCCATACCTGGCGTGGTACCCAAGCAAATTGATAATGCCTCGTACCAGGCGTGGTACTCGAGCCAATCGATAATACCCCATACCAAGTGTGGTATCCGAGCCAATTGAAATTCACTCATCACACAATCACAATCACAATGAAATACAACTACACTTGTAAATACAAGAAAATATGACACCTTCATTGCGTGGGATTATCAACAAGTTATCATTACATATTAATTCCCTTGATCTCCCTAACCATGCATCATACAAGCCATACTATATAAATAGTTTTCATGCATACATTCTATAACTTGGAAATGATCAACTACCTGCCTGAAATCAAGCCTATAATGCTTTATTTCGCTGAGCTTTCCCCTTGTTATGATATCTAGCTTGTTCTTGGTCTACAAACAATAAATATAACACATAATCAGACTCAAATAATATCAATACACCTGGATTAGAATTAAATCCAAAACTCAAGGCAAAAATCATGATCATCCCACCCAATTACCTAAAACTACAAATTCCACGATTACATGAGCGAAATATGGAAAATAAATCAAGAGCAAATGTTTTCATAAACTTCCCAATATTTTACACCCCCAAAATCCTCATAAATTTGGAGTTTTCCCACCTTAGGATTAACCCAAACCCTCATTTAAGGCCACAAATACTGCCTCTAAAGCATAGAACTCAAACGAATTGGGTAAATGAATTACCTACCTTTATGAAGTTCCCGATGAAAAATCTGCTGAATTTTGCCCCAAGTCACCCTTGCTCTTCTTTAAAACATGATAGCAAAATTTTCTATATAAACTTTGATTAACCTCGCTATAGCAACGACGCGGGACCTTTCACTATCGCACGAATTAATTCCACCGCTAATGCGACATGTCACCTGCTATGGAGGCTTGCACTGATAAAAACTCTAAAATCTATCAAAATGTGTTCATTTCGCGACATACCTTTGAACCTTGATGTTCTGATCCAACTCATTCATGTCAAGTTAGATATCGGGAGTTCTACTCACTCGAATTTACTTTTGAAAAGTTCTACGGACTCCTTAACGTCTTAACTAACAGAAAAAAAAATCCAAGCTTACAAATTTAACTCAATCCTTTTTTGGATTTCCCTAGACCTCACTTTACTCAGATTTCGTCCCAGTCTAGACTCTAGCCTAGCTTGAAATTTTTAGCTCACTACAAAAGTTTTTCACCCAATTTCTTTCAGTAACCATTCACTCATAATGAAGAGGGAGGTCGGCTTTGGCTTTGGCTTTGGCTTTGGCTTTGGCTTTGGCTTTGGCTTTGGCTTTGGCTTTGGCTTTGGCTTTGGCTTTGGCTTTGGCTTTGGCTTTGGCTTTGGCTTTGGCTTTGGCTTTGGCTTTGGCTTTGGCTTTGGCTTTGGCTTTGGCTTTGGCTTTGGCTTTGGCTTTGGCTTTGGCTTTGGCTTTGGCTTTGGCTTTGGCTTTGGCTTTGGCTTTGGCTTTGGCTTTGGCTTTGGCTTTGGCTTTGGCTTTGGCTTTGGCTTTGGCTTTGGCTTTGGCTTTGGCTTTGGCTTTGGCTTTGGCTTTGGCTTTGGCTTTGGCTTTGGATTTGGATTTGGATTTGGATTTGGCAAATGATGTGATTGATTGATAATATTTTTGGACAAAATTTATTTAATCAATCTTGTTAAATCATTTCCTTTCTCTTATAAATTAATTCAGAATGTTGGTTAACTAACAGAATTAATTTGGCGCAACTGAATTTATTTGAAATTCACGTGTAACGGTAATCCTTCCGGAAAGTCATTACTTTCCAAAAAGTCGTTACTTTTCCAAACGGTTTTCCTTCCGAAAAATCGTTACTTTTCCCAAATGACACAATGTTCTGGAAAAAACGGGTCTGAACTGATTTTTCTGAACAGACGCGTTCCTTGCTGCAAATGGCTATAAATAAGAGGTCTTTTTCGTTTTTTCAAACACTTGAAAAATTTTTTTCCTCTCTGCATACATTTTCTCTCATAAATAAAATTGTCGATCGACTGAGTCTGTGTGTGCTCTTGTTGCTGTTCTTGCGTTCGCTGAAGTTATTGAAGTTTGAGGTACCGCTACTTCTTTAACAGGTTAATCCGTTTTATCTTGGGAGAAATTAATCTGCAACCTCGGGTACAGTGAGGGGATTAAATTTCTTAAGGAAACACAGTGGTTTCTGTGGACTCGGATTAAAACTCATTCTGTCTATTTCATCTTTTTTCTGTTTCTGTATTTTTGACTAACCTGAATACAGGAGTTAACAGGTCGTTACAAAAAGAAACAACAATAATACTCCATCTTTTTGTTGTTACTTGTTCAATGTTCCAATAATAGATTTATAATTTTACTTGTCCCCTTTAACATATCAAGAAAATATTTTAATTTTTTTTTTCATGTTTTAATCTAAACAATAATTACTTATTCTCCAAATCATTTTCTAATACCTAATACTAAACATCAATTAATAGGGTTAGTGTGATAAAATAGTCATGTCAATAATTATTTTCTTAATGGTGTGCCAAGTCGAAATATGTCAAATAATAGTGAATAGAGGAGGTAATAATGATATTGATGATAAGAAGTTTAGAGTCACGCTCTCCAGTAGGAAGAGAGAAAATCGCTTGACTACTTATTAACACTCTATTCTAATCCATGATCTAGAGAATGTGACGTGTCATGCCATGCCATGTGTTATCACTTCTAAAAGTCACAGGATCTTTGTGGACAACATCCCAATTAAGAGTATTCAAGCATTAGAAAGACACCGGAGTGAAATTCCCATTCAATCAACCGATGAAGATATATATACTCAAAAGGCTTTTCAAGATTTAGATGGCCCTCAATATAGAAGACTTCATTGGGTTAGACAGATATTCACAATTTATCAAACTCCATTTACTCTTAATATCGTCTTAATAAGCTGGTGTAATGAGTCAGTTCAGTATATATATATATATATATACATTTGTTCGCTTCAAATTTGTAAGAATTTAATCTATGTAACTAACAATTCAGATTATAAGAAAGCATACTTGAAGGCTAAAAATATTTTTAAATGCATCAACTAATTAATCAAAGCATCAACATGTAAATAAGTTTATCATTTTTTCCTCCTTTTATCAAGCTAGTGATTTCACGTTCTTCTCATCATAGTGATTAACCTACACTTCAAGCTGTTGAAATTTTTCAATTTTAGTCCTGAACCACGCATTGAGGGCTTTGTATTTTTCATCTTGCAATTATTCCTAACAATCTCATGGCAGTCAATCAAATTTTACCCAAAATTCAAAAATCTAAAGTACTTTAGTATAAAATAATAGCATATCATCATTTATATTTGTATATAAATGATTTTTCATTTAAAAAATGAATTCAACCTTTATTCTTAACAAGAAAAAGAAAATTCTCAATTTTTTAACTTCTCTCTAAACCTTCCAATCTCCTTCCTCCCTCTTCACCATTTCTAAAATCCTTTCTTGTGGACTACATTCAACATATGTGTGCATTTGAATTCAAAAAATTCAATCTATAACAAAGAAAAGTAATAAAAATAAATTCTTTACAAAAAGTGAACATATCATTTCAATTACTGTTAATCTTTGCCATAGAGTCAATCTGTCCTTATCAATAGATCTAAAATATCTTCATTTGTATTATTTAGTATAATCTTTGCCATTGAATTCACCTTTATCTATCAATAGGAATTGAGATGCATATGAAGAAACCTTCTAAATTTGTTGAAAATATTACTATTTTAATGGTAGATGATAATGCTATGTTACTCAACAAATGTAACTATCAAAGACATATAAGTATCTTGGTAGTTACATTTATTGAGTATCACAACAAAAACAATAGACAAGTCCCCTGATCATCTACCACCAAAATGTTGATAATTTCAACAAATTGAGAAGACTTTTTCATAGGCGTCTGAACATCGATTGATAGACAAAAGTGAATTTGTGTCAACGATTATACTAGTTAATGAAAAATGAAGATCTATTAGGTCAAACTAAAAATGATAATTGTGGCAGGTGTTGTAGATGGTTATGTTCAATGCATAATGGGACTAATTTTTAGATATTCACCTCAGACCAAAAAAGAGAAAAAAATAAATATTCCCCTTTCCTCACAATTAAGTGTAAATACATTTTCAAGAAAATCTACAAAAAAAAAATACTTTTCTTAAAAGTTAAGTCAGATTTGTAGATTTTCTTACCATATTAGAATAGACCACTCATTAATTATATTAGCTTTTTAAGATTCATTTTAGTGATATTGTTACTATAGTTTCAACATCCAGATTTTTTGACCAAAATAAGCTATTTTTAAAACCAATTCACCAAACTAATACGCTTTTTAAACTTTTTACAAAAGTAGTATAAACGTACTTCATGGTAACGTTTTAGGTTATTTTTATTTTAAAAATTCAACGGACAAAAACTGACGGGGTTGACGATGTTAAATAAATAAACGTTACTATGAGTAATGTTTTAGGTGTAAAACGTTACCCACATATTTTTAAAAAAAAAAGTGAATTGTGATCACGTGGACCTTTTATTCATTCATATCCACAAATGTCACCATCCAAACAAAACAAAAATACCAAAAGAAAATACAGAAGGAACTTTCCAAAATACATTGGTTAGTCCAGATCTACAACTATGGTGGTTTTGAGAAACCTTCTTCTTTCACTTCATCTCAGCCCCTTCAGCTTCTTTCCAGGTATGTGTCCAAGTCCATTTCCACGATTTTGCAGCTACGAATCGAGCTCCCTGAAGTTCTTGTTCCTCTCTTTGCAGCGAGGTAGTCACCCTTCGCGGCGATTAACCGGAATACCAACGACCCCAACATCACTCAGATCCAGCTCACTGGTGACTCGGGAGTTCTCAGTAAGCAATTTAATCTTTGTTGTGTTGTACTCCACCATGTCTTGTATCATGCCTTCTTTTCCTTAACTGTTATTGTTGCAACTAGACGGAGAGATCATCAATTTTATCTTTGAATCCCTGTATGAATGTTATATTTTATTCCTGTGTATGCTCTGTTCACTGATTCTTGATTGGCCTAGTTCAGGTCAAAACCTAATTTCGTGGATAAACGGTAGCTCTTCTATTTCAAAATCAATTTTGGGGATTTCTTGTTATATCGAGTTTCACGATAAATTATGGCTATAAATCTTCCGAAAAGCTTGGAATCAAGTTAATTTTTTTGTGTTAGAGCCTTGAGGTATGTTTTTTTTTCCTTACAAAATAGTAGAAGGAATGCTTGAATTTTAGAATTTCTATCTTCTCGAATTTATATCGTTTTGGTTATATAGAATAATCACTCAAGAAATTCTGATTTGTAAATTGTGTTTTCATTTTGAATTGATGCATCTTGTTGATGCAAAGAGAAACAATGAAAAAAAATGTTCACATGAAAATGGAATGGAAGACTATAACAGGTTGACCTGCAATCGGCCTCTACTAAAATTGAGTTCATTTTCCAAATTTTAAATGAAACATTAGGTGACAGTACATTTATTTTGATTTGCTTGTTATATTTTGAACTAACATTAATATTTAATTTACTTTCATATGTGTTTTTCATTTTAATAGATACGTATATGGCTGGTTATAGTGCATACCAATTGGATCCCGGTCCACTTGAACCATCAGTATTAACTCAACAACTTACCCATAGGTCACGGGATATATGGGATGGAAATGTTAATATGATTTTAAATACGATGAGGTGTGATGAAAAATTTTGGGACCTCGTAAAGAAATATCTCATTCATCTACGAGTCTTAGAAGTGATTGAATTATCATGATTATATGGTGTTTATAGATCAAATCGACCTAGTATTGATCGTAGCTTGATCTCTTCACTAGTAGAGAGATGGCGTCCTGAGACTCATACGTTTCACTTTAGAACGGGTGAGGCGACAATCACCTTGCAAGATGTAGAAGTGTTGTATGGCTTACCTGTGAATGGTGATCCAGTACTTGGTGATGAGTCGATAAGGACCATAGGGGATTGGCAAAATATTTGTCAAAGATTGTTAGGTTTTATTCCACATCCTCAAGACTTCAACCGTAGTAGCCTCAAGGTAACTGCACTTAATGCACATATGCTCGAGCAACTACAGTTACCTGACTTGGCAACACAAGATATGATCAATCAAATGGCTAAATGTTACATGTTTTGGATGATTGCTGGTATGATGATGGCAGATACATCTGGCAACTATTTAAAGCTTATGTTCCTTCCCATGCTCGAGGATCTCAGTGTAGTTAGCTCTTATAGTTGGGGTATTGCAACCTTAGCGTGCTTGTATCGCTTTCTCTGTAAGGCCTCACAGAATAACCAAAACGAGATAACTGGATTTCTACCACTACTCCAGGTATACTTAATAACTACATCAATTATTTATAAATATTTCTTCTAGTTTATAATCTCATAATTATATATTTATATATTATGTTTAGATTTGGGCATGGGAGAGAGTTACTGTCCTCAAACCTCAGGTAATAGCACAAAAGAACACAAAATAATTTTCTTGCTGGTTTACCTAGGGATCCACGTGCTACTAGATGGTTTGCACATTTTAGTTGGACTGATACCACTAAGCATGTGTTGAAAGTTTTTAGGGATGCACTTGATTCCATGACAGAGGATCAGGTATGATGGTATACACGGTTTTTTTTTTTTTTTTTATGTATATATAGTAGTTGAAACTCATTTCTTTTCTCTTTATGTAGTTTATTTGGGAACCATATTCGAATGACTTAACTGAGAATCTTCCTGACTATTGTCGAATTGGACGAGACATATGGCGTGTTAGAGCTCCAATTTTTTGTTGGGATGTCGTCGAGGTTCACTTGCCTGATCGAGTTATGAGACAATTTGGATTGAAACAAACGATACCAACTCCATTTCTATTTGACGCCACACATTTTCACCATGATCGTAGGGGCAGACCAAATACAAATTGGAAGTTGGAGCATGCACAATAGTTGCCTTTTTGGAACCAACGGCTTCAATATATTTGTGATGCCCCGTTCAATCGTGAACCACTTCGATATGATGACCCTTACCTTATTTGGTTCAGACGCATTACTCGTCTTGTTATCGGTAATCCTACTCAGCGTCCTCAACAACAAGAAGGTTATGTACCAAATTCAACGGCATATGAAACAATAACCATATTAATAAGTTGCACCGTTGATGTTTGTCCTGTACTTCACACTTGCCTATCAATAACATGTGCAGATTTATTAATAGCTGACTCTGGCGCTTCAGTAATAGCCAAATCTATTGATTTTAGAGTTATAACATCCCCTTATACATCAACACCCAATCCAACAAATAAACTCCTTAATTGATGTTCATAATTAACTTGTCTTGCATCAAACAAAGATCTTGAGTCGCAAATATTTATGTGACAAGAGAGAAATCTAGACCATGTTTTGTGTTAGCTTTGAATCTTTACTTTTTGCCTACTCAGAATATTCATTGTAACTAAGACTGCTAATATCAAGAATGAATGCTACTTAGATCTTCATTAAACTTTTATTAAGGTTGTCTTAATTTCTTTACTGTGTGAATTTTTTTTTCCTTGTAGCTGTTAGATACAATTGAAGAATAATATATTACATTTTATTTATGCTTTAACTAGTGATATATTCTCTTAAGTCAATCATTTAAATATCAATCATTATGCTGCTCCAAGCAATGTGAGTATTATCGCTTTCATTTGCTGAGAACTGTTCAAGATTTATGGGTTTTGGGACATGTTCTATAGTGAGATATTTAGTTTGTCTCCTGAGTATTTCCATTATGTTGTAGACCTACTTTGGGTCCTGATTATATTTTTTGTTCCAGTATAATGATCTCCCCTGCGAGCTTGTGCAAAGCTATTTGGACGAAGTAAATGACATCAATTTCTGGCGTTGGATTTCAATTTTGGAGTTTCTACCAAAGAGTTGTGTGTCCCGGCATTTATTGGACCATGAAGTATTGAAAGAGAAAGAAGTGAAAAATCATGTAAATCAATCTTGTATTAGCTGTGTGTCCAATTATATAATATCAAACATTTCGAGTTGTTTGAAGTATTAGCAATCTGAGCATTTCTAAGTTAAGTTTGTTTTTCCTCTACATTTCTAAGTTTATGCAGTAGATAACTTTATGCACTAATAATTTTTCCTTTATTAGCAATCTGGAAATCTGTAAATCTGGAAATTAACACTAATATTTTTTCCTCTATTAGCAATCTGGAAATCTGTAAATTTGGAAATTAATACTAATAATTTTTCCTCTATTAGCCAATTAATTTTGTGTGGGTCAAAAACTCCCACAAATCAATAAGAACCCCTCCACAAAATGACCTTTTTTTTAGTAGTGACTTCAGTTTTTGAAATTCCAGCAAAGAACTTCATTTTGGTGGTTAATAGAAAGATAGATATAAAAATTTAATTATTATTTGCAATATGTTACAGTAGCTAACTCAAAGAAAATTATCATAACTAGACATTGACCCACAATTGGAATTAACACAATTACACTAATAAAAAACTATCCACTTAAACTTAATTACGATTTGGACATCGACGCCTATCATGTCCGGTTTGTCTACATAATCCACAAGCTCGCTCATACACTGTAGAACCACGATCCATTTTATTAGGTATTCTAGTTGTCTTTGGCCGATTAGGACGACGATAGAACTCATTACTTCTCATTGTAAAACTTGGAGATGACCAATATGCCTCATGACCAATAGGTGAGAATGACCCAAGAATATGTTGCAACATAACTCTCTATTGTGAAATGCTCACTAACAAAATTTCTAGCTAGCCCTCCCATTCTATCAGTTACCTTCATGACATGTGAACATGGGAAGTGCAAATTAACCCATTTTCCACAATCACATTTTCTTTCATTCAGTGAAACACAATAAGGATTACCACCAGTTCCATCAACTTGTATAGATCTAACCTCGTATATCCCTGTGGGTATATTCCAATCAAAAACAAAGTGCCTTTTTGAACTTTCATAATTCTTCTCCCACTTTATTTTGAACCTCCCAGTCCATAATTCATTTTGTTCTGCAAGTTGGTGCGCTATTTAAGACCTACGGGTATACCGTTCAATAGTTTGCTCCAATGAAAGTCTAACCATAGCAGTGACAGGCAAACCTCGTGCTTTTTTCAACACTCCATTGAACGACTCTGAAAGATTTGTTGTCAACACTCCCCATTTTTTTCCACCATCATGGCTAACAGTCCATTTGTCCAAGGGAATTTCCATGAGGTATTCATGTGCTTCGACATTTTCTTCTCTAATTTGCCACATTAAGGATTCAAAACTTCCTTACTTGATGGGCTGAAGCAGCCCTCCACATCAATCTGCTGAGGTTCTTGTTTGGAAATTTTAGATTGAAAGTTGCTCTTCAGATGCCTTATGCAAAATCGATGGAAGACTCGAGGCTCTTGAAATCGCCGCAACTCCTGCAAACTAGTCAAGATTCCTTTTGCCTTATCAGATATAACACATATATCTTGTCTACTTTTTATCACATGTGCACTCAAATTTCTAAAAAACCACTTCATGCCTCTTTTGACTCTTTGTCTACAATAGCAAACGCTAAAGTAAGAATGTTATCATTTCCATCAATTCCAACAGCAATTAATAATTTGATCTCATACTTTCCATAAATATGAGTTCCATCTACTGAAATAACAGGGCGACATGTTTGGAATCCATCTATGCATGGCTTGAAAGCCCAAAATACAAATTTAAAAGTTTTTACCTCTGATGAACTCATAGACTCTTCGTGTTTCCATTCCACAACTGTTTCATGGTTAAAGTGTTGAAAAGCTGCAAAAAATTTAGGTAGGTCACTAAATGATTTCTCAAAGTCACCATACACCAATTCAAATGCGCGTTGACATCCAAGCCACGCTTTTTTGTATGTCACTTGATGACCAAATTTTTCATGAACCTTTGAAATGACATCTACCACCAAGTACTTAGGATTTTTTCTAATTTGATTTAGAAACAGTGATGCAATCAAATTAGTATTTAGATTGGTGTGACCACTAGAAAGCCCTCCAGTCTCACATCTATGATTTTCAACATATTTTCCTATCTTCCAAAGGTTATCTCCAACTTTTCGATCTCGAAGAAACCACAAGCAACCCAATAAACTATAAAACTTACATCTCACAACCCATAGACTCTTGGTAGATGTTACCACCTTGAACTCCTTATTTTTGTGCAAACTCCAAATCGTTACCGCCCGTTTCAACTTTTTCTTTACTACTAAAAAAAAATACCTTTTTTCAAATCCTTTTTTGCTTCCTCAGACCAAATTGAACAATATTCCATCTCAGATTCACATGTAGACATGAAAATGTCTTCCGCATTTTCTAATGTCCTGAAATAGGGTATGTCATGATTTTGTTTTTCAGACACGCCTTGTTTATGATTACGAAGATTTACACCATTCTGAGAAAAATCTCTAATATCATCGATATCTTCATCAGGTTCACTTTCATCACCATCTTTTGGAGGTTCATCTTCCTCCGAACTTTCATCACTAATTTCAGCATTTACATCATTATATAGATCAACGTTGGTCTCATTATCTCTGTAAAAAAATATTAGTTAAATTCTAGCAAAATTATAAATATAGAAGCTTGTTTTAAAAGCGATAATTTATACTCTAAAAGGTTATTTCTTCTATCAATAAGAGATAATTTATGTATACTGACAATAAAATTATCTTATTAAATTGTTACACTAAAATTCAGTAAAATATAGATTTGTTGTTTTACCTGGCCTCATAATCTCTGTGACTATTATCAATATGCATTTGACTACTTGACCCTTCACCAAATGATCGATGACCATGCATCGACAATTGTTGGAATGGTGGTTGAACAATCGGTTCTACAAAATGAGGTTGATTGGCCGTGGTAAAGCCATAATTTTGAGCCAATAAATTCATGTGATAACCATGATGACCACTAACTTGAAA